TGCAACAGAGGATTTGGAATTAAAAATTGTATTGACTGAACTAACTGATGTTTTGTGTTGTAAGTAGTTAACGTGCCCTTACCAACAGTAGCAGTAGAGGTAGCATTGATTGGGCTGTCTGTCGAATTATCGGTTGAATCTGTGCTAGATGAACCTGGTGTGCTTATTACAGCTGTGAAAATACAGACAAAATTGCTCAGATGGGATGAGATACATATATATACAACAAATGCATACAATCTTGGAACACAAGTTTCAATCTTCATTCAGTTCCTGTAAGTCTTATGTAATCCAATCAGGCACACCCAGTTACTAATTCAGCAGTCATTAAGGTACTATTTACTGTCAAACACAAAAACTGCACAAAACATGCATCGCATCCTGTTAGTAATTTCATTAGCTTCCAAGAACAAACATTCATATAGGTTGACTGACGCCTGCAGTTATATTCTGCTTGTCTTATTACTTAGCAACCACAAACAAAGTCCAACAAACATTTATATTAGGGGTGCTCCGATCAGGATTTTTGAGGCAATCACCGATCACAGAAAGCAGTATCTGCCAATACCGATCACCGATACCAATCTTTTTAAAGCCTTCTTTTTATAATTTATACCTATTTATAGTGATACTCCAATCACGATTTTTAGACATTTATTCAGGGCATGAATTTCATTTTTGAAAATGGGGGAATTCCCTCTTAAGTGACTCTTGTGAGAGGAGGAAAAGCAGCTTTCACACAGAAGTCCGCTACTGATCCGTGGCTGTTTACTACAAACACAACATTTATCCATTATTTTGATTTCAAATCCAAACATTGTCACTGAAAATGCTTTTTCATCATTGCAATTCTTTTTTTACACAGTACAGTAATACAATCTTTCACAGACATGTTTAAACACAATAAATATAAGCAACACATTATTCAATGCTTTTTACTTTTGCATTTACTTACATTTATATATTAAGTTGCTCAAGCAAGTGGCAAAACATTTAATCTACTTTTCTTACCTTATCACAAACTTACCAATGACAGAAATAGTCAGCTCTGCTGCCTTTTCTTTTGCATTTAAATCTTTATTACAAGCAATCCTGCGGTTCATAAAGAACTTTGTTTTCCTACCTCCACGAGTGCCATCTATTATTGCCTTCGTTATCTAAAAGTGCTCTTTCCCTA